CAGGAATGCGGGCTCGGGCCTTGTTGAATTTGTCTCAGCTTATAGGGTTTTTGACCAAGGATAGTCGGAGTCAGCCTGTGTTAAAGGAAGTTTTGGGGATTGGCAGTGGGGATAAGGGTTTGGTAAATGAGCTTTTGAGGAAAAGGTGTACGGATGAGAAGGCAGCAGTGAGAAAATCTGCACTTATTCTAGTTGCAAGTTTGACGGGTCTATTTGGCAGCGGCTTTCATGGAGCCTTGTTGAAGACTATGGGCATGGCCTGCTCAGACCCACTTGTTAGCATACGGAAAGCCGCAGTTTCAGCTCTTTCAGAGGTTTACTTTCTGTTACATTTCACTGAATGCTAGTTAGTTAATCGTTTGTATGACTAAATATTAGTTCCTATTAGCAGATACCGTACGTATTTGGTCTGTAATGCTGCATTGCCTTGTTTGAACTACACTTATCTGTGTTTTTGAAATTTTTGCTTTTGCGGGATTAGCCTAGATTTAGCACTAAAGTCCCTATCTTATCAGTTGTTAATATTATCTAGTTTAGCAGAAATTTCTCAGTGCAATCATGAATAACAATTCCATCTTCTACTGATGAATGAGGATGTTCACTAATGCTAAAATTTTTTTTGGATAGCCTCCAGTATATCAGATTTGATTCTTCTTATTATTAGAAGTGATATAAATGTCATGCTAAGATTAAATCAGGTGGAGCTCCTTATGGGATTTAGTGAAACATTTTATGTTTTATTAGTGGAGTAAACAATAATATATCTAGTTCTGCACTTCCATTTATATTCCTAGCTCTAAGTTAGGGTTCTTCTCCTGATCACTTTCAAGAGAGTATCTTCAATGCAGTCTTGATCTCATGTTGGAACTCTATCAACTTTCCAGGCCTTCAGAAAATCCCCAGATGAAAGTGTTGCGACAGAGTGGCTACATTCTGTTCCACGGTTGATAACTGATAATGAGTCCAGCATACAGGGAGAATGTGAGAACTTGTTTCTTGAACTGGTTCTAGATCGGATATGTAGATATGGATCTATTGGTTTGCCTCATAATAGATCCACCCCCAATGGCTCAAATGTCAAAGCAAAGCGTTTTGAAATGGAGTTTGAGTCATTAATCCCTGATGGTGTTTTGGGTCTTCTAAGAGAGATTTGCAATCGAGAGGTGACACCTTGGGTGAAGAAAATCTGCACAAGTTTGGGTAAGAAGAATAAGTTGAAGAACAAAATTGCCTTGGGACTTCAGAATATCATACGGACATCTGAGTCCTTGTGGTTGAGTTATTCAATGCCAATAGAGAAGTGGACAGCCCCAGCTGGTGCATGGTTTCTTCTGTCAGAGGTGTCAACATACCTTGCACAAGCTGTGGATTGGGAGTTCCTCCACCATCATTGGCAGCTCCTTGACAAGGATGGTACAGGAGTAAACACTCAAAGTCCACATGTAGAAGGAGATAACTTTGAAGAGGGAGAAGACGCAGAATCCAATTCTGTAGCTTGGGCTGGGGATCGTGTTTTTCTATTGCAAACAATCTCCAATGTTGCTGTTGAGCTCCCCTCTGAGCCTGCAGCAGAGCTAGCTCATAATTTGTTCAAAAGACTTGATAAGTTCAACATGCATTCGACAGAGGTAATCAGCTTATCAGTTGGTTTCACGGGTCCCAAGCCAATGCTTGTTATTTTCTTCAATATGCTGTTATTTAACAAATTCATCTGCGACTAATTGGTGGGTCTTCAAGCAGGTTAAAGCTCATGTAAAAGCGCTTAAAACATTATGTAAGCGGAAGGCTTCGAGTCCAGAGGAGGCGGAGATGCTTGTTATGAAATGGATTGACCCGCTTCTCAATGAAGGTTCTAAAATCTTGGAAAAATGCATCTCAAAGAATCCAGCAGCAAAGAGAAATTGCAGCTATTCTACACCAGCATCCAAAAGAGGAAGTAGCAAGAGCAAGAAAGAAAAGGCCTTGTCCAGGTTACTGACGCAAGCAATTACGGCAGTCTATACAATTGGGTCTTTGGTTATCCACTGTCCATCTACTGATATGAACAACATCATCCCCCTTTTACACACTATCATCACATCCGAGAATTATGACCTTAGATTGAATAAATTACCCGGCGCTAGCGTCTCTTTCAGGGAAACAGCTCCCTCTTTATATGTTCAAGCATGGTTGACTTTGGGAAAGATTTGTCTTGCAGATGAGAAACTTGCAAAGAGATATATTCCTCTGTTTATGCAGGTTTCTTTGTCATCTTAACTTCAGTTTCCTTTTATGGTTCACTTATTTCTATATGCAGCTCATCGATACGTGGTCTTTTTTTCTTTGTGACAAAGCCAATTGAATCCTAAGAATCATCTAGCATATGTGACATTTCCTTTTGGAATCTTGTACTTAAACTAGATTTTTATTAGAAACAATTTCCATACTTCAGAACTCACATCTGTCGCATTTAACAAAAGTAGTGAATGAACCCACTTGTGATGCATATAGAGTTGCGAATATATGTACACTACAGACTGAAGTTTGGATATGACCTTCATTTTAAAATACATTTTGGCATACAACAATTATTGGAAAGTGAAATGCAACTCTTGCAATTACGAAACACAACAACCTAAATTAACTTAGCCCCCCCAATTCTGAAATTTCTCATAAGGCATTTTTTCTCTTGTAGGAGCTTCAAAAGAGTGATTGTGCTGCACTCCGTAATAATCTGGTAGTAATAATGGCAGATTTTTGTGTTCACCATACTGCTTTAGTTGATTGGTAAGTAATATCGGGATCAAGTTCAAAGTCTCTCTGATGCTAAAGCTAGCTCTATAAGAACTGCATAGAAGTATCTTCTTATCTTGTTTTATATTCTTATTACATTGCTAACTATTGAGTTATTCTTGGAGTCAACAGTTATATAACAAAGATCACAAAATGTCTGCGTGATCCATGTGAATTGGTGAGAAGGCAGACATTTATACTGCTTTCAAGATTGTTGCAGGTATATCCTGTATTCTGTTATGTTCTCATCTTCATGGTTGATGATTAAAAATCAGTCGAATACTAATTAGTGTTTAAATTCATCACGTCATATTTAGAGGGACTATGTGAAGTGGAGAGGCGTTCTATTCTTAAGATTTCTTGTGTCGCTCGTCGATGAGTCAGAAAAGATAAAGCAACTTGCTAACTTCCTATTTGGGAATATTTTGAAAGGTTAAAACGTTTTCTCTAGTTGTCATATGTGCAGTGTTTGGAAATTCAGTTTGTTACTGTTGATCGGGCTATGACTCTTGTGTGTACATGTTTCTTCAGTAAAGGCACCTCTTCTAGCTTATAACAGTTTCATAGAAGCAATATTTTTTCTGAATGACTGCCATGCCCACAGTGGACATACTGATTCTCGTGGCTCTCGATCAGAAAATCGACTTTTTTCCATCAGGTTGGTGTGTCTACGTTGAAGTAGAAAAGAAAACAGATTTGCAAATGAATCACTCACCTATATCTTGTCTGCTTATTGTTTTTCCAGTGGAAATGATGAGAGATCAAGGTCTAAAAGAATGCACATTTATGTTTCTTTGCTGAAACAAATGGCTCCAGAGCACCTTTTGGCGACTTTTGCAAAGTTATGTGCAGAGATCCTTGCTGCAGCATCTGATGGTGCATTAAATATAGATGATGTCACTGGACGGTCAGTTCTGCAGGTAAGGCCGTAAGGGCTCATGTCTAACTACAGTTTCATCCGAATAGATTATTCTTTTTTGCCTGATTATTGATGTTTCAGTCTTTGTTAAATAGCTGTCATTTAAATCTGCATTATTTTCTAATGAATTAGGATACTTTCCAAATCCTTGCCTGCAAAGAAATCCGACTTCCATCAAGCCGTGGATCATCATCTGATTATGCAGACATAGATGAAGATGGAGATGCTGCAGCATCCACTGCTGCAGCTAGAGGAAGGGCTATAACTCAAGCAGTCAAAAAGGGTCTCATTCAGAACACAATCCCAATCTTCATAGAGCTTAAACGCCTATTAGAAGGCAAAAACAGCCCGCTTATAGGCACCCTCATGGAATGCCTACGTGTCCTTCTCAAGGACTACAAGAACGAGATTGACGAGATGCTGATTGCTGACAAGCAGCTTCAAAAAGAGCTCATGTACGATATGCAAAAGTATGAAGTGGCAAAGGCCAAATCAACCACTGCTCAGGCCGTTGCCAGCAATCAAAAAGCACATGGCTTTCAATCACCTGATGCTTCTAAAGTTGGATGTGGAAAACGTGCTCAAGACAATGCAGAACTTGCTTCAGCTATGGCTGATGCCACAGCTGCAGCCACAGTTCGTTCTGTGCTCAAGGAAGTGAACAAAGGAATTATGTCGCCTCCTCTGAATGGCTCGAGCGTGCCTAGACTAATGTCTTGCGAGAAGGAGAGCAAGCATAGAGTCGACCGGCGGATGGAAATATTGGAATCTCTGAGGAAAAGACAAGACTTTGATTCTGATGAAGAGAATTAACATCACCCAGTATGTATGTCTCTCCCATTTGTATGGCAAGCAATGAAGCTTGGACACAGACTTTATCAACTTTCATTCAAGATTGGAGTTAATTCTCTTCGGTTATTCTTGTTCTTGTATGTTGTGATGTAATTGTACATAGTTGTTGACATACCAATTGCAAAACTGATGTTCATGGCTGTTGTATGGAAGAATAGAATGCTTTTTCTTGAGGTAGAAAGTGAGTATAAATCCTTTTCCATAAAAAATAAAAAATGTTTATCCCTCTACTACGTTCCTAAAAATTAATCTTAATGGGTGCGTTTGGAATTAGTTCCAAAACGTTTTTATTTTCTGTACGAAAATGAAAATGAAAATGAAAACGTTTTTAGTTTCATTTTTGAATTATTTCTAAAAATGCGTTTAGTAGTTTTATTTAGAGATTGATTTCAGTTTTAAAAAAAACTGAAACTGCGTTTGGTGGTTTAATTTTTGAAAATATGTCATAATATATTAAATAATAATA